GCCCGAAGCCGCTGCGCGCCTCGGACCCCGGGAAGGCGGCGCGGCCGCGGATAGGCTCCCGGCGCGGCGCGCGGGTGAAGTGGAAGTTCCCGAGCCCGGCGCGCCCGTCTCTCGCGCCCCGGGACCCCTCCTCAGAGACCCGGGCGGGACATCTCCATCTCCCGGACCTGGGAAGGAGCTTGTGGACTCTCGGGCTTGAATCCGGGCTTGCTTTACTCCCGGAGGCTGCAGAAGCATCCCTTTTTCCACACTCAGAAGGTCACCTCCCAACCTATGCCCCCGGGGTCCCCCGGAAACGCAAGCGTAGAACTTGGGGCTTCCTCCTGGAGACGCTGTTTTAAAGTGATCGCGGCAGGATCTTCCTGGTCTCGAGTCAGTTCAGCGTAAGACATTTACAAGCTCAAAACGCGCGCACGTGCACGCACCTGCTCTGTGCAGTATCTCCGAATAATCCCGGAATTCGGATCTGAAGTCATTTGACACCGGATTCTCTAAAACAGTGCGACCGCGATAAAATGACTAAAGCCATTTTTAAAAGGCTCTTAGAGTTGTAGGAGTGGGAGATAAGGGGAAGTTACTTGCTAGAAATGGTTTGATGAACAGTTTTAGAAAATATTTGTTTTTAACTATTAAAAATCGTAAATCTAAAACGCCCAGACGAGGATTTGGCAGAGATCATGAAACTTGATCGAATAGACATCGCCATACTAACCCGACAGCTCTTAAGGCAGATCAGCCAAAGGCCATCAGGAAGAAATCTGCAGTCCAACAAAATCATACTTGTTTGTAAATCAGGAAGAAAAGCCCTCCAGAGAAAGTGAACAAAGGAGGAAGCCTCCTTTGTAAGGTTTAGGTTCCCGCCAAAGGAGTCTGGGTGGGGTCCAGGGAAAGAGAAGTGAGTTCTGGATTGGACATCGTTTCTGAGGCGGGATGAGAAAAACTGGAGAATAAGAGGGAATTAGATGTTGTCGTGGGGGCTTAGAACTATTTAGTAATTGGGTACCCGCAATAATAAATGAAAATTGCATAGTGGACCTGGGACTCTTTAGTAGAAGCAATAATCATTCAGAGAGGAGTGGATATGGCATTTTATAGCTGTTTCCTGTCAACCCTGTTAACTTCATAGCTGTGTTATTTAGCTGTCCTCCCAGCACAGCTGCTTTTGTTTTTTCTTCTTAGTTTCATGATCTCTGCCGAGTTTCCCTCAGATCCCGGTCTGAGCTGATTTCAGTCTTTTAGCCCTAGATCAAACCAGGAATCGCAACTAGACAGAGTCAAACCAGGAATAATTCAAGTTGCTTTGAGAAACATGTTAACATGGACAGTGGTAATTTTTACTTGAATATTTTAGTTTTCATCTTGTTCCTCCTTACCCTTAAGTCATACCTTACTTAGGACTAGAAGATAAAAGAAATTGAATGAAAAAGTTGAGAGAAGCATAAAGTAAGTACTGAATAAGTGAGAGATGAAGGAATTTAGCATGGAGAACAAGAGAAAGTGCTTCGCTGGTGCCCTGCCTCAGGAGCACTGGTGTAGGTGTATAATAGTGTATATTCATAAAATAGAAATATTCATCCCTACCAGTTAGCCTAGGTCCACAGAGGTCCTAAATGGAAAGATCAAGAGCCAGATGCCACCAGCAAAATGTGTCATTTGGCCCACGTGTTAGTTTGGTAGTTTTCAAAAATATTTTAATTAGATGCCAAGATTCAGTAAGCCCGACTTCACATTAAAAATCTAGATTTGTACTTCATTTGGAAAGCGTGAGAAACCTGGCCTTCTTGCTCAGCTTCTACTGGGCCTATAGCTTGCTTTACTCATTTTCTCTGCCTTCTGAATTTTGTAATTTCTGAGAATTCTACAAATTAAACATTAAAAAAGCAAAATCACCTGAAAAGAAGTTAAGAGCTCAACTAAAGTTTTGTCTGCCTTGCTCACTGTTGTAAGACTGAAATAGTTATTACACAGAGAACTGAAAAAGAAAAAAAATTAGGAATAAAGCAGCCATTCTTGGGAAATCACATTCTATTGGGCTGGGTTCAGTATGAACCAAAACAAACAAAAAAAAAAAAACCATTAGATATAAGCAGAGTCCATCTTGGTAATTATACTTCTTATCTATGCAGCCCAAATGTGAAACAGTGTACTCAGAGGGCTGTAAGGCAGCCTAGAAGTGTGCTGATTGCAGAGACTGACAGAAGATTGGCATAAGATTATGGGGGAATGCAGAATAGTAGTTATAAAATTCAAGAGAAGAATAGACCTTGTTAGAGATGAATTGCGAAATGGATTTAGAAAGATTGGAAGGAATGGAGCGTTGTGTAAATGCGATTTCATAGGTAACCTCAGAGACTACCGGAGCTAAAGATGACACAAACTGTCATCCAGCTCTAGTCTGTTTCTGTCTTTTCACAAACGGGGAAATGATGATTAGAAATTTGAGAAAACCAGTTAGTAGCAGAATCACATCTGGTCGCCTCCTGAGTTTTCTCCATCTACTACTGTTTTTTTTTGTTTGTTTGTTTGTTTGTTTTTTGTCTTTTGGTTTTTTTTGGTACTGGGAATCAAACTCAGGACCTTGGGCTTGCCAGGCAGGTGCTGTGCCACTGAGCTATATCCCCAGCTTCTCTGTCTAGTACTCTTATTACTAACTCATATTTCTTCTCTTGTAATTATCCTCAGTGAATTATGCGATTCAATTAGTAATTTTTATTATAGTAAGAACAGTTTACATGAGATCTACCCTGTTAAATATTTAAGTGCACAATACAGCATTGTTAACCAATGACACTGCATTATACAGAACTCTCTAAATCATTTCCTTAGCCGGGCGTGGTGGCACACACCTGTAATCCTGGCCGTCAGGAGTTTGTGTTGGGAGGATTGCCAGAGTATTCAAGGCGAGTTTGGCTGCAAGGTGAGTTCAAGGCCAGCCTGGGCTACACAGTGAGACCTTGTCTCAAATAAACATAAGTAAATAAATTCATTGATTGAAATTTTTGTTTTGTTTTATTTTTTTGAGACAGTGTCTCATGATATAGGTCAGACTGCCCTTCAACTCACTGTGTATCCTAGGCTGGTCTCAAACTCTTGGCAATCCTCCTACCTCAGTCTCCTGAGTGCTGGGATTACAGGCGTGAACCACCATGCCTGGCTAACTGAAATTTTATACTCATTGAAAAGTAAACCCCTATTTTTCTCCAACTCTGGCCCCTGTCAATAGCCATTCTAGTATCTATTTCTATCAGTTTGACTATTTTAGATACCTTATCTAAATGGAATCGCGTAATATTTGTTCTTTAGATACTGGCTTATTTCACCTAGTATAGTACCCCCCCACACATTTATCCATGTTGTGGCATATGGTAGGATTCTTTCTTCTTAAAGGCTGAATAGTGAATAGTCCACTGTATTTACATAACATGTTTGCTTTATCCATTCATCCATCAATGGGCATTTAGATTGTCTCCATATCTTGTCTATTCTGAATAATTATTGTGAATAATAATATTGTGAATAATGAACATAGAAGTGCCTATTATCTCTCTTAAGATCCTGGTTTCAATTCTTTCAGCTATATACCCAGAATTGGAATTGGTAGTTCATATAGTACTTGCATTTTTTTTATTTTCTGAGACACTACCATGCTGTTTCCATATTGTTCCATTTTTCATTCCCGCCAGCAATGTATAAAGGTTCTAGTTTCTCCATATCCTTGCCAACATTTGTTGTCTTTTGTTTTCATCTTTGTTTTGTTTTCTACTAACCATCCTAACAGCTGTTAGTAATATTTCATTATGGTTTGATTTAAATTTCCTTATAATTAGTGATGTTGAGAATCTTTTCATATACCTATTGAGCATTTGTGTACATATCTTCTTTACAGAAATGTCTACATAAGGCTAAGCGTGGTGGTGCATTCCTGTAATCCTAGCACTCAGAAGCCTGAAGCAGGAGGACTGCTGCAAATTCAAGGCCAGCCTGGGCTACATAGTGAGTTCAAGTTCAACCTGAACTACATAGCAAGAACCTGTCTCAAAAATAAACACACAATGTCTACATAAAACATTTGCCTAGTGCTAATTTGGTTCTCGGGTTTTTGTTTTTGTTTTTGTTTTCAAATTTGAGTTGTAAGAGTTCATTGCATATTTTGGGTATTGATCCCTTATCTGACGTGTGATTTGCAAATATTTTCTTCTAACCTGTGACTTGTAGTTCCAGTTTATTGATTGGTTTCTTTGCTGTATAGAAACTTTTTAGCCTCATTTCTCTGAATAGCCTCACTCCACTCTTGAGTGAGTCCTAAAATCTCTGCCTAGTATAACCTTCCTGTGCCACTCTCTGATACATCCTGAAAATTCTTTTTCCCCACAGGAGTCAGTGAGCCTCCAAACATTCGCTGGTATGTTCAGCGTGGGTTAAGTTCCTCATGTCAGCCTCAAGAACCTCTCAGTCCCAGCCCAGTGACATTTTCACCTGGCAAGCCAGGGGCATAAGGTAAGAAGAAGCATCAGGACCTGAACTTTGAGAAGCCCAGCCTAAAGGCTTTCCATTTTGTCTTCCCAACTTCCCTCAACCCTTTGCCCTCTGAACTATAGTTATTCCCAACCCCTTGCCCTCTGACACATAGTGTATCTCTTTTTTCCTTCTTTTCCTCCCTCCCTGTCTACAAACTTCTGTAGTCTTAGGGAGGTTTTCCCCCTTTCCAAAGGGTAGAGACTCCCAAATCCCTAGAAGATGAATGCTTGTACATAAAAGCACCAAAGACAAGAGGCACCAGCTCCCTCTAACCAGACATGGGAAGAGGTGT